AGCAATGTAAGTAGAGTGATAGAGGGAGATGAGGGAGATGTGACTGGCTGATGACTAAGAGTGTGGGAGGAGGGGTGTCTCAGAGGTGATTCTGTGTTTTTGGAGAGACGAGTGTGAAGGGTTTTTGTTTTTTAGCCTGTATGACAGAAGAAGCAGTTTGTCTATCCTGGGTGGCTAAGAGAAACAGTTTAGCCTGTGTGGCTAACAGAGGCAGAGTTTAGCCTGTGTGGCTAAGGCTGTCAGAGTTGAGTTTTGGCGTTTTGGGAGACAGTGTGTGACGCCCAGCTTTATCAGTTATATTTATAAATTTCTTTCTTCAACAACAGTTCAAAAATACCCAGAAATGTATTTTATTCTTTTATAAATACATCATTATTTATTTAAACTTATCCCAGGAGTCAGAACAGTCCTTCCTCAGGGTCACATAGTCCTCTGAAGCGCCCAGACACTGGGTCATTCTACCATAATAGAGAGAACTGGAATTTTTAATTCCTGGTGGCAGCGGTAATCTACCAAATTTATGTGAACAGAGTGGGTTTTAAAGAAAAAACAGTCTCCCCAATAAAGAGGTCATCACAACCTGCAAGCCCTTTCCCCCGGTGCTGCCAAGTAGCTCATGCAGCCAGAGGGCATGGCAGCCACATGGAAAGAAGAAGAAGAAGAGGAAGAAAGAAGAAGAGGAGGAGGAAGAGAGTGGATTTATACCCCGCCCGTCACTTGGAGTCTCAGAGCGGCTTACAATCTCCTTTCCCTTCCCCTCCTCACAACAGACACCCTGTGAGATAGGTGGGGCTGAGAGAGCTCTGACAGAAACTGCTCTTTTTCAAGGACAGCTCTATGGCTTGCCCAAGGTCATCCAGCAGCTGCAAGTGGAAGAGTGGGGAATCAAACCCGTTTCTCCTAGATTAGAGTCCGCGCACTTAACCACTACACCAAACTGGGTAAGGGGGAGACAGGCAGTGGGCCCTGATGGAAGGTCTGGACGTCGGTAGCCACCCCACTATGGGGCATGCTAACCAGTGTTCCCTCTAAGCTGAGTGAGTGTGAGCTAGCTCATGGTTTTTTAGCCTCCGGCTCACACGTTTTCGTCTTAGCACAGGGAGGACGGCTCCAGAGCAAACTGATGTACGCAGTCGCCAAATCGCTGGCTCACAACTTGAATGCCAGCAGCTCCCAAAGTAGGATTTTGGCTCACGAGACTCCACAGCTTAAGAGGGGGCATTGCCAACACCAGCTCTGCTCCCATTTATAATAGCGGGCTTTCACGCACCCTGAGTCAGACGCGACTGTCCTGCAGGCATGGTGCCCATTTCGGATCGGCATTGTGGCAAAGGATTGCCGGCCTCCAAGTGGGGGCTCGAGATCTCCCAGAATTACAGCCTATCTCCAGCCCACAGAGATCGGTTTTCTTTGGAGAAAATGGCTGGTTTGGAGGGTGGACTCTCCGGCATTAGACCTTGCCGGGCTCCCTCCCCTTCCCCAAGCCCCGCCCTCCCCAGGCTCCACCCCCAAATCTCCAGGAGTTTCTCAAGCCAGAGTTCTCAACCCTATTCTGGCACATATAGAAGAAGGCGTTTCAACCCCCTCCCTGCAGTTTTCCCAACCTGTAATGGTTGGTGTAGCCAGTTTGGTGTAGTGGTTAGGAGCGTGGACTCTGATCTGGGAGAACCGGGTTTGATTCCCCGCCCCTCCACATGCAGCTGCTGGTGTGACCTTGGGTCAGTCACAAGTTGTCTCAGAACCATTCTCTCATGAGCAGTTTCTCTCAGAGCTCTCTCAGCCCCACCTACCTCACAGGGTGTCTGTTGTGGGGAGGGGAAGGGAAAAGAGATGATGAGCCGCACTGAGACTCCTTTGGGGAGTGAAGGGCAGAGTATAAATCCAATCTCTTCTCTTCTTCTTCGTCTTCTGGTGGTGTGTGTCACATTCGGCCTGTTGAGGAATCCCACACGTCGCCCAGGAAGCACGTGGGTGTCTCCAGATAGTGCCCCCAGGAACTATTTTCACTTGAGGAAATGGTTAAGGTGGGAAGCCTCAGTTGGCCACACTCTGGGATCATGATCTGAGTCGGGTCCCACCTGCGTGAGAGCTGAGGGGAACTTGTGGCCAGTGCTCCCTCGAAGCTGTGGGGTCTTGTGAGCAAAAATTCTGCTTTGTGAGCTACCGGCATTCGAGTTGTGAGCGAGCGATTTGGCTGCGGCATAAAACTAATCTGCTCTGGAGCCCTCTCCTTCCTGAGCTCAGACA